GGCACCGACCGGCACCGGAACCGGGCGGTACCGGGAGAACCGAGCGGTACCGAGAGGCACCGACCGGCACCGGAACCGGGCGGTACCGGGAGAACTGAGCGGTACCGAGAGGCACCGACCGGCACCGGAACCGAGAGGTACCGGGGAGAACCGAACCGCACCGAACAACAGCAGTACCAAACCTCACCGAACTGAGCTGGGCAGCACCGAACGGAACCGGGCAGCACCGTACAGAGCCGGGCAGCACGGAACGGGACCGAGAGGCACCGAACGGGACCGGGCAGCACCGAATCGGACCGGGCAGCACCAAACGGGACCGGGCAGCACCGAATCGGACCGGGCAGCACCGAATCGGACCGGGCAGCACCGAACAGGACCGGGCAGCACCAAACTGAGCTGGGCAGCACCAAATGGAACCGGGCAGCACCGAATTGGACCAGGCAGCACCGAATGGGACCGGGCAGCACCGAATGGGAGCGGGCAGCACCGAACGGAACCGGGCAGCACCGAATTGGACCAGGCAGCACCAAATGGAACCGGGCAGCACCGAACGGGACCGGGCAGCACCGCACCGAGCAGCACCGACCCCGAGCGCGGCGCAAGGCGGCCCCGCCGGTGCGTCCCCCGGGGAGGAGCCGCCGGCACCGCCCGGCACCGCCCGGCACCGCGGCCCGATCGGGGCGGTCACCCCGGCAAGGTCCCCCCGGCCGGTTTGTCCCGGGGGGATGGGGGCCGCGGGGAGGGACAAATCCCGTGCCAAGCCCTGCCCCGGCTGGACCCGGTAATCCCGGGGAGCGCCAGAGCCAGGCTGGAGCGGAGCTTGAAGGTCGGCCGGGATTGGGGATCCTGTCCCCAGAGGGAACCCGGGTTCCTGGAGGTTTCCAGGCGCCGAGCTCCTCCCTAAGGAGCTCCACAGGATTCATGGAATGGTTGGGGTTGGAAAAGCCCCCCAAGGTCAGGAGGGAGGTCATTAACCCAGCCCGGCCCTGTCCCCGCTCTGCCGTGACACATCCGCGAGGTTTGGAACGGGACGGGGACCTGTTCCGATGCCTGAGCACCCTTTCCATGAGGAAATTCCCCAAAAATCCAACCCAAACCTCCTGAGGCCGTTCTCTGGGAGCAGAGCCCAACCCCCCTTCCCCGGCTGTCCCCTCCTGTCAGGGACTTGTGGAGATCCAGAAAGTCCATCCCGATCCTTCCTTTCTCCAGGATCAACATTCCCATTTCCTCTCAGCCGCTCCTGGAGCTCCAAACCCTTGGAGATCCAGAAGGTCTCTCCTGATCCTTCCTTTCTCCAGGATCAACATTCCCATTTCCTCTCAGCCGCTCCTGGC